GCCCCTGCCCACTGGCCTTACTTGGGGCTGGGCACATCATACCTATTGACTCCCAGTCAGTCAGCCAGGGCTCCTGGAGAGAACAAACAGAGGTCTTTGATCAACTCTCTGTCATAGAGTTTGTCACCAGGCCTCATGGGTATGAAGCCAGGCATTCAACAAATGCATGGCAGATGATAAATGAGTGTGTGGTGTGTCATTCTGTTAAGGGGCTTGCAGGGTTGGGATGTGGCTACCCGCTGGGTATCAACTTTGGAAATTTACAACATCTTCAAAACACACATATTTACATTCATAACCCACAATTGGTCTCTTTACTTTTTCTACCTTCAAAAAAATAATCAATTTCTGCTTTAATCTTTTCTCATTGCTTAGGTGATCCACACATCTCAACTACGTTGTGTCAAATAACAGACATTTGTTTAGGCTGCTGCCTCACAGCCTTTGGGGGTGGCCTCCCCATTCTTGACTGAAACACGGACATTAGTTAATGGTCTCCTTCCACCTCTACTCTCAACTTTCTATTTCTGGTCTGGGCTGTTGTCCTAGCCTAGAGCATGTTGCTGCCTTCTGAGGCACAGACCAAATGTGATATTGGAAGTGAACTTGGCCAGGATGATGATTCCATTGGTCTGTTTGTCCCTGAAATCCCATCAGAATATTGCCTAATATTTTGTTGACTCCCTGGGAATAAAAGGAATAGAAAATAATGATACTGAAGTCCCTTTCCTTGATCCTGTGTCTTATCTTGATTATATCTAGCATCTCAGAGCCCATCAAAATGCTGGAAGATTGTGGTTATTTTTCACTTACTAGTAACTATTTATTGAGCACCAATTATGTCTTAGGAAATGTGACAGGCATGACATCTGCCCCATGAGACCCACAGTTCCAGGACTATCTGTCTGCTCCTGTGTCAACTCCTTCTTGACGATCAGCCCCATCCAGGGTGGACAACTTTCTATAGTTTATGTGCATTGTTGGGCTTCAAAGCTCAAAATCCTCTGCAATTTTTTTTTCTCTCTCCTCTAGACCATTTTATAAAAAGTATTCAGTAAGACAATAGTGTTGGGAGAGTGCTCAGCTCTACCTCTCCACACAGAAATGTGTCTTTCCTGTCTCAATTGCTTCTCTTTCCTTGGCCAAAGTGCCCCAAGTCCCATAGAGACTCATTATTTTTAAATACCTGTTCATGTGGAACCTTGTCAAAGGCTTTTGGAGCATCTAAATAGCTAAGAGCCAAAGCTGAGCTAGCAAATGGGAGAACTGGGTTCTAGTCCTGTCTGATACTGGTTTACTATTGAAGTTTGGGCAAGAACAATTCCTGTCTCCGTTGCTTCATCAGTAAAATGAGAAGGTTTATGCCGGCAGTCAACATCATAAAAATTTCATAACCATCAGATGAGACAGTGTTATTTATGAATTTGCAAAGTATAAAACAAAAAATATAAGGGCTCATTATTTTGAAAATTTACAACAGCATCTTCATTCATATGCATGTTCCTCTCCCAAAAGAACTGCAGTCGATAAAGACTTGGTTCCTCCTCCACCCCTCAGAGTGATGTTTGTTTAACATCAACCACTTTGACTGCTTGAGAGGATGCAGATTTACATAACCAATAGGACCTGGTTCAGGACGTGTGTTGGCTGTTGGCATATTGTGTAAACTCACAGATGCTGAAATCAAATGGAACTTGGTGTGGATCCGGGATTGCCTTTCACTAGATGTGTGACCTTGGACGGGTCATTTCACCTCTCTTGTGCCTTACCTGCAATGGGGTGATATTCGTGCTCACTTTAGGAACTTGTGAGATGTAAATGCCTGACTCTTAGTAGCCATTTTTTTTTTAAGAGAGAGAGAATTTTTGACATTTATTTTTTTTTAGTTATCGGCGGACACAACATCCCCGTCTGTATGCGGTGCTGAGAATCGAACCCAGGCCGCGCGCATGCCAGGCGAGCACGCTACCGCTTGAGCCACATCCCCAGCCCTCGTAGTAGCCATTTAATAAAGAACAATTCTTGTCCTTTATCCATCTACGGGCCCCAAAGCCTGCAGCTTGTCCATTCTACCTGAATTTTAGGATTGCCCATCAAACGTTCGGCAGATTACACAATAAACTCCTTTTTCCCATGTCCTTGTGAGATTCTTTCAGGCAATGGACAAATGAAACTTTCCCTTCTGTTCTGTGGAAAGCTGTGGATGGGGGAGGGGGAGGAGAAACACCTTCCTGATTGTTTTCACCCTCTGGCGGAGGGTGGATGGTGGGGAGCCAGTAGGCCAGGCTGTGAAAACTCACCCCGTGGGTGTCTCTGTTCCTTCCCTCGCCCACCCTTCTGTCCCTGCCCCCGGTCACTAACTTCCTCTAATGTCCACTATATCCAGTACTTTCACCTCACCTGAGGGAGCAGGGAAGTTGGAACCAAATGATAAGAAGACCACTCAGGCACTGAATCTCATTTACTTTGGGGATCAGACCAAGGGCGCTGGATGGGGCTTAGTTCCGCCAGCATTCCCTGTGGGAGCCCAATCCTGCTGGCGGCCAAGGGGACTGGAGAGCAGCCAGCCACTCAGTATCACTCTCTGCTCCCACCCCAGGGCACCTCCCAGCTGGGGCTGAAGCGTGACTGGGCCAGGGGCCAAGGTCATCACCACACGGTCAGACTTGGGTGGTAATCCCAATTGGTTTTGCACGAACTCTCATTTCATTCAGATTAAGAAAGGTCCTGGCTGGTGTGGACATCTGGCGGCTTGGGAATGGACACAGAGAGAGGACTCTGGGAATCCAAGGCATTTTGATTTTCAGGGCTAAATCTCTCTTCAATTCTTTTCCCGGTTTTCGTTGCTATTATTTTCATGAGCTTAATCTGAAATTAGCAAAGTCTTAAGCTCATTCATTTATTTGTTCATTTTTAAAATAAATGTTTGTCAAGCACGAGAGTTTGAGCATCAATATTAGGGGTGACTAGTGAACGTCTCTGGAATTGAAGAGACCAGAGGCAGATCCTGACCTTAGCCCCCCGCCTTTGGATGGCCCCACCGGGACCTACCTTGAACTACCTTCTGCCCCAGGAACAAGGCCTCTCTTGTAAACAGGGACTTCACAGTCAGACCTGGGTTCTAATTCCACCTACAGATTTCATAGCTCTAGGAAACTGTTTAATGTACCTGGGTCTCATTTTCTGTATACAATATCAGATTTATCAGCTAAGATTTTGATGTGATATTAAGCTTTTGTATTGATTTAGGAATAAACACCAAGGAAATATTTTAAGAAACAACCAAGTTCAGACAATGGGCAGGCTTTGGAGTTATTTGGATTCTGGGGGTCAGGACATTATCAAGGGCCAATGTGTTTTCCCATCTCTGTGTCTGACATTCCCTGGTTCCAAAAGTCTCTTCTGATCACCACCTGTTGATGGGTTGAGTCAATTTTCTCTCCATCACTGTGGTGAGAGAGTGAGATTAAGCTGATTTGTTTCTGCTCATTAAGAACAACTCTCGGAAGCAAAGAGTAGGTTCAGTCCCGCCCAGAAGGTGGGAGAAGGTGGTTTAGATGTGGCAGGGGCTGTGTAAGCCATGACAAATGAGCACTAAGCACACAGGATTGAGGGGATCATATCAATAAGGGATATGTACAAAGCCACCTCTTAGCACCTGATATCTAGGGAGCTTACAAATAATGCTGAAAAGGAAAAACAAAGAAAAACCAATCAACCAAATCCTGGAACAAACTAAAGTCAAACACGTAAACCAACCGCCTCAGCGATCAGAGGCTGGTGAACTCTGCAGAAAGAGCCATCGGACTTTTGGGTAACTGTGACCAGTTGTCATCAATGTGCCCCCCCCCCAATAACTTATTCTCCTTGATCACAGGAGGGATTAAAAGTTACATATTAATATTTTTAAATGAAAGTGCATAATGGGAATTTCAGGGATACAATGTTTTCTTTGGTTTTATTATTGAAAGCTCTAAAATTATGCCAGGGGTAACTTACAGAGTCTTAGAGCCTCAAGTTCCGTGATCCCCTCGGCCTCATCTAACCACGCTCTTGGTACTGTTTGTTCCCAATGAACGTGGGAGGTGTTAGCTGGGCAGGTCATATCAGATCTGGGCACTCAGGCTCAGGATGAATCTGGAAACCTGGCCAACACCCAGGGCCAGGTGAGCATTGTGTCTGGAGGGGAAGCCCATGTCTTTTCTAGATTTGTTCTTGGTGATGGAGTGTGTGTGTGTGTGTGTGTGGGGGGGGGGGGGGGAGTCTCTTCTGTTTTTATCCATGTGGCCCAAGCAGTTCTCAGAAGGATTTGTGGTGGCTGGAGAATGACCTCCCATTAAGTATTCCTACAAGGACAACTCTAGGAATGCTAAACTCATGCAGGATTTTCCTGCAATCCCTATGTCCCATTCCCTCTAGCAGGATTCAGAACCTAACATCTATTCCAAAACCTAACGTATAAGCCAGTGGTTTCAATGGCCAAAAAGAGGCTACCTGATGTGAAAGTCTGGTTCCCCTCCAGACCATAGCAATGAGATCCAGGTACCAGTTTCAAAGAATTAGCCAACATCCTTACACCAAAATGGTTCTCTACTACCAAGTGTAGTAGATACTACTGCCTTTTGGATGAAGGATGATACTCTGATCTGAGGCAGCCTCAACGCTGAGCTGTTCGCCCAGTCCCCAGACCACCCCACCCCATACCAGCCCATCCTTTATTTCCCAAAACCAGCAAGGGCTCTAAGACTTCAGCCCAAGGCACAAGGAACAGGAGGAACAAGACCAGGTTCTTGCTGAAGCCCAGCTAGGTCTCTCCCCTCCCCTTCTCTGGGACATGCCCTTCAGGATGCCACAATGGGCTTGGCTTTGGCCTCTGAGCTCTGTGGTGGCAGAGCTCACTGACTGTCCTTTGGCTGTTGGAAGGTCTCTGGACTGAAGCTGGGCTGTGGGCAGTAATGGTGCCTGTACTCATATTGGTTTTGCTCTTTTTCTTCCTGCAGATCCGGGTGGATGGGCCCAGGGGCAATGCCCTGCAGTACGAGACAGTGCAGGTGGTAGAACCTGGCCCTGTCCTCCGTGACATGGCCTTCTCCAAGGATCATGAGCAACTCTACATCATGTCAGAAAGGCAGGTAAGGCTCTTTGGGCTCTGCTTGACATTTGTCTTGCCACTAAGTACCAGCCTGTGGCTCAGTGGAAACCCACAGGAACCAGCAGCAGAAAGGTGACTTGATTTATTTGGGTCAATGTGTATCCTTTCCATACACTGCCTGGGGACTGAAGCAGGTGTGCAATAACAGGGAATAAAACATTTGAAATATCAAAATATCCAGGAGTCTAGAAGAAATCTACTGACTTCAAAATAATGGTGTGTAAAAGTTCAAGGCCGACATTTACTCTCCTTTGAAGAAACCTGGTATCGATGCCCATGTTCTTGGTCCAGATTTCCCTGGAGGATGATCTCCTACCAAAGTCGCCTCCCTTGATCCTGAAGGCCTGAGATGGGTAATGATTTATTGCCATAAGAGCCGAGTTAGAGAAGCACACAGAGGAAGGAAGTTTACAAAAACCAGAGTGTGTGCTGAAAGGACGAGATGCAGTGTGTGCTCTGAGCCTTCGTGTGTGCCACTGACCCCCTGTGGAACCTCCAGAAGATTCCATGAAACCAAACCAACAACAGATAGGGCACAGAGATTATTGTTGGCGGAAGCTGAGCAGGAAGTAGAAAGGTGGGGCTTTGTTCTGAGGCTCAGTTGAGCACTATCTTTCTCAGGGGTCCCTGCGCTCAGACCAGGAGTTGGGTCTATAGCAGGTGGAGGAAGAGATTTCCTCTGGAAATACCATCTAGTTGAGGATATTTCCCGGAGTCCCCTAATTCATGCCCGATTATTTCACCCCACAATACTCAACCCACCCCAGGCGTGGGTCGGCACTGCCATACCTCTGCCACGTCTTCTCTGGTGAATGGGCCATCCCTGGGCGTTGTCCTTCCAGCCCATGAATATGGATGTGTTGGCTCTGCGGGGCAGAGGCAGCAGCCCTGGGAGACAGATCTCCCTCTGATTCATCTTCATTAGCGTGGCCTGAACTCTCTGGAGGACCTTGCTGACAGAGTCTGGATTGTCCTGCCTGTCCCCTCTCTGCAGAGCAGGGGAGATGAATTCCACATTATGCCACCCACAGGACTTGTGCATTATGCCTGGGCAGCCCACAGCAGCTCCACCCTCCCCAAGAGCACGATGACATCTTCTCTCGGTGTGGGGCTCCCAGTCTCCCAGCATCAGCCACACAGGGACCCATTGTGGTGCTCTTGTGGAAGCTGCCATGGCTTGGGAATGGGAGTGGGGGTGTCTGAGATGGAGTCAGCCACTGCAGATGAGACTCTCCCTTTGTCCCCATGCCTTACTTTTGAAAATGAGATTCCCACTCCCCACTCCTTACCTGCCTCCAAGGCCCTAGGAGCTGAGGGGAAGCATCTTTCCTTGGTGGAATGAATCCTTCAGAAAAGACCCGAGATCGCCCAAGCACTGAACATCTCAGGATTTCTTGCCGACCTGAGACTTAAAATATGGAAGGACTTCCAAAAGACGGGAAATATAAACTGGTGATATAATTGTCCGCTGCCTCTGACAGCCCCACCTGTCCTTGCCTGCCTTTGTCCTCAGCCAGCTCCTCCTCCTCCTTGGTGGTCCGGTCAGTACCCACTCAGGCTTGGCAGTGAGGCATGGTGGGAGCTCTGGGCTTTGGAATATTGGAAAGAAAAGGGAGGCGGGAACGTAGAGGGCCAGGGCGTTCATTCCTTCTAAAGCTGCTTCTTACAGAGGTGAGGATGGCAAATTGTGACCCCAAGGCCTCATCATTGGGGCCAGTACTGGTGTCCACTGGGTTTGCAGATTCACTGGTTCCATGCACTGGTCTTGGCATCAGAATATCTGAGCATGAGTCTACCATTCACTAAGCTCTACCACTTGCTAAGTAAGGTCTTGGGTGTCTCGAAGAGTCAGCATCCTCTACTGTCATGTGAAGGTACCAATCATACCAGGCAGTGTTGTTCCAGGAATCAAGTGAGATAATACTTATAATAAGCTGAGAACCAAGGCCCGCCCAGAGTAAGTGCTTGATGACTGGAGAGGCTCTTGTGTTTGTGACACTGCAATAGGATTTTCCAGACACTGACAGTGTTTGGAGCCAAGCAGAGGCTGCACCAAGGTTCTGGACAATCCGTAGCTTGGGAAGGGCCCATGCAGGGCCGAGAGTGGAGTATTTTGCCCTGGGAGTGGGGCCCACAGGAGTCCAGGTCAAGGCTGAGGCAGGAAGGGAGCAGAGATCCAAGTCCAGTAGAAGGCACATCAAGAACCCAGGCTGCTTCCCTGATTGGGCATGCCGAGTAGAGCTAGGGGCAAGAGCAGCGTGGTGAGCATGCCCAGGGACTTGCCAGAGCCAGTGCGTCAAGACTAATTCCAGCCTCCATTAGCCTGTGGGCCAGCCTCGACCGTGATGGGTCAGTACCCTTGGCAGGCCACTGCAGGTGCATGGCAATGGGGCACCTCCTGGAAAGCACCTCCCTTCTCACCAGGGCATTGTGACCTCGTCCTTCCACCCTTCACTCCACCACGTTCTTGAGTGGGCTCCTCCCGGCCCGTCGTTGGACACCTCTGCAGTAGCTTTTCTCTGACCACTCTGCTCTGACTCCCCTGTCTCTCCACCCCCAGACCCTCAGCAGCCTGAGGAAAGTCCTGCATCCTGTCTGCTGAAACCTCACCTAACAGACCCTGACCCTTTTTGAATGAACAATAACCCCCCCCGTGTTGTCATTGAACCAGAACTGAAAAGGAAAGGGACCAAAATATGTATCTGTTATTTATGTGAATTTCCAAGTTCAAGCCCAAATAATTTAAAGACTATTCAATAAAATAAATAAGTAGATTAATAAGTAAAAAAAAAATAAAACAGCTCCATAACTTCAGGTGACTTCAGATGATCATTAGTTTGCCACAGATTAGGCTACTTAACAAACAGAAATTCATTTTCTTACAATTCAGCAGGTTGGAAATCCAAGGTCAAGGTGTCAGTGGGTTTGGTTCTTTTGAGGTCTCTCTCCTTGGCTCACAGATGGCTGGCCACCTTCTTGCTGTGTCCTCATGTGTATGTCCTCTGTATGTTCATGTCCCTATTGACCCTCTTTGTCTCCTAATCTCCCCTTCCTATAAGAAGACTCATCAGATTAGATGAGGGCCCCTCCTTAAAAGTCTCATTTTAACTGAAGTACCCCTTTAAAGAGGAGGTAAACAGAGGACATGCCAAGCTGCCTGGGGCGGGGCTTCGACAGGGAGATTTGGTGTTGGGGTTCGTAATTTAGTTTATAGCATTACCATCAAGACTTTTGCCTTGCCTATTTTTAAAATTTTTTATTTGTTTTAATTGGTTATACATGACAGTAGAATCCATTTATGCACTTTGATACATCATACATAGATGGGATATAATCTCTCATTTTTCTGAGTGTACATGTTGCAGAATCCTATTGGTCACATACTCACATATATACATACAGTAATAATGTCTGTTCATTCTACTATCTTTCCTATCTCCACCTCCCTTCCATTCCCCTCCCATCACTTCCCTCTACCTAATCTAAGATAATGCTGTTATTTCCTAGTGCTCCACGTCTTATTGTGAATTAGCATCTACATATTAGAGAAAACATTTGGCTTTTGGTTTTGTGGGACTGGCTTATTTTGCTTGGCATGATATTCTCCAACTCTATCTATTTACCTGCAAATGCCATAATTTTACTCTTCTTTAAAACTGAGTAATATTCCATTGAGTACATATACCCCATTTTCTTTATCCATTCATCTATTGAGGGATACCTAGGTTAGTTCCATAGTCTAGCTATTGTTATTTGAGCTGCTATAAACACTGATGTGGCTGCATCACTATTTTTAAGGATGCTGATTATAAGTCCTTTGGGTATAAACCAAGGTGTGGGATAGCTGGGTCAAATGGTGGTTCCATTCCCAGCAATGTGTGAGTGGACCTTTTTCACCACATCCTCGCCAACATTTATTGTGGCCTATATTCTTGATGATTGGCATTCTGACAGGAGTGAGATAAAATCTTAGAGTGGTTTTGATTTGCATTTTTTTCTAATTGCTAGGCATTACTAAGAGGAAAGTTTATTGCATTGGGTACATTCATTAAAAGAATAAAAAGTCAACAAATAAATGACCTAATACTACATCTCAAAACCCTAGAAAAAGAAGAACAAATCAATATCAAAAGCAGCAGAAGACAGAAAATAATTAAAATCAGAGCTGAAACTATGAAATTGAAACAAAAGAAACAATTGAAAAAATTGACAAAATTAAAAGTTGGTTCTTTGGAAAAATAAATAAAATAGATAACCCACTGGCTCTGCTAATGAAGAGAAAAAGAGAGAAAACTCAATTTGTAAAAGTACAAGATGAAGAAGGAAATATCATACAATGGACACGTCTGAAATACCGAAGATAATTAGAAACTATTTTGAAAATTTATACTCGAAAAAAATAGAAAATATCAAAGACTTTGACAAATTTCTAGAGACATATGACCTACCCAAACTGAATGAGGAGGTCATATATGATTTAAACAGATCAATTTCAAGTAATAAAATAGAAAATGCCATCAAAAGCCTACAAACCAAGAAAAGCCTAGGACCAGATGGATTCTCAGCTGAGTTCTACAAGACTTTCAAAGAAGAATTAATACCAATTTCAAAGTATTCCATGAAATAGAAAAGGAGGAAATCCTTCCAAATTCATTCTATGAGGCTAATATCACCCTGATACCAAAACCAGACAAAGACACATCAAAGAAAGAAAACTTCAGACTAATATCTCTAATGAAAATAGATGTGAAAATTCTCAATAAAATTCTGGCAAATCTCATACAAAAATATATCAAAAAGATAGTGTACCACAATCAAGTGGAATTCATCCCAGGGATGCAGCATTGGTTCAATATATGGAAATCAATTAATGTAATTTATCATATTAATAGACTTAAAAACAAGAATCATATGATCATCTCAATAGAGGCAGAAAAAGTATTTGGCATAATACGGCACACCTTCATGTTCAAAACACTA